AGGGCTGAGAGCTGAAAAAAATTGCATTACTCCACAAAGCAGAATGCCAGGGGAACAAGATGAGATACATCTCTGCTTCTTGATAACACTGGAATTATTTAAAGTAGAAGAGGGGGGGGGAGAGAAGGAGCAAAGAATATTCTCCAGTCTATATTTAGATCGGGAGCAATGGCAGCAGAGCAGACAGGCGGAGCTTCTCTCTGCTTCAGACGAGCTACACCGGTGGGCTGTAAGCAAGCAGATCTATCTGTCTCCGAGGTTCAGATTGAACCACAAACTGAAGCAGACAGAAGGCCACACTTCTGAAGGAACTCACGCATTCGCTTAGGATGCATGTACATTTCTGGGGGTAATGAGTGCAATAAGTGCAATATTTTGACATCAAGGCATTGTTTTGACCTGTCTACATTAGACACTACCTTCTGAACGTTAGAAAAACATGTTGCCTTATATATTATTATTTTATTTTATTTTTATTAATTTTGTACTAAGCATATAAAAACGCTAACAGTTAAATTAAATGGGATCTACAAAATAAACTAATTTAAAACAAATCGTTAAATAAAAGAACAGTTTAAATTGATAAAATTAAATGAGTTTTCTTCATTAACACACAATTATAAAATTTAATTGCAGTTCAACACATGATTCATTCTGATGACCAGCAATTTACATTTGCCAGTTTCTCAAATCAGATTGCGATAATGCCTGATTTTATACGTTAACCCATTATAACCCGGTTCAATTTCTCCTTTAGGAAAATGATGGGGCATATAATAGAGACCAAATGGACCACTTATAACATGTGCACAACAAAAAGTTCAAAAAAACAAAAAGTAAAAAAAAAAATCTGACTGTCTACATAAGGCAAGAAGCGAAGCAAAAACACATTTTCCTCAAGATTAAACCAAAGTCAAGGAAGAGAACATCCAAGTCCTAATTACTACCAAAATAATACATTCTGTCTTGCGTATGAGTATGATGCTTGTGTGGAATAATACACAGACAGGTCATCACGCCACTCATGTAAACTGCGACTTTTCTAAACTGTGAAACAAACAAAGACAGTTTTCAGACAAACACGCAGGGAATTATTGCCACATAAAGAGCAATTAAATGGCTAAAATTGTCCTCCACCATCATTCCAGCATCATCTCAAAGATTATTACTTTCCAGGACCTTGCATGTGCTAATTGCTTTAATTACAAGCCTCTAAATCAGTTCACTTTAATTACATTTACCCTTCTATGTTAAGACAAGCCCACAGCTTCCTGCAAACGCTGTTAAACTGCAATTACTGTGAGGCCAACAGAGCTGCTGAATAAAGCACACAACGACATCTGTCTAAATCAATACTTTATCGACAGCCGAATGCAAGATTGTCCAGCAGTGAAATATCTCGGCTCTCATTTTATCCTACATCGCTTCAGTGATTATTCTGACCCATGCGAACATCTCATTACTGCTATAATATCAATGACTTTGTAAACAACTTTGTGAGTTTCGTTTTACGTTAGAAGGTTGAAGCAGTTTGCGTGTAAAGCTTAACCATAAAGGGCTCTATTTTAACAATCTAGGTGCAAAATGTCTAAAGCGCATGGCGCAAAGGCATTAAGGGCATGTCTAAATCCTTTTGCTATTTCAAGGACAGAAAAATACACCCCAGCGCATAGTCTAACAAGGTTGTGCTTATTCTCTTAATGAGTTATTGGTGTGTTATTGGCGCATTTGCTATTTACATGGCAGACTTTGTAAGTGGAAAAACTGAACACTTCACTAGCGACAAAACAGTTAAACAGACCATCTGCAACGCAAAGATAAAGAACGAGCCTCCTCCATTCAGCCTCTTTACTTTCTCTTTACTTTACTTGTACTCTTTACTTTACTCCTTTACTTTTGTGGGTAAGGAAACAGTGGAAACTCAGCTAAAGACATCTATTAGCCAACATATTTAATTTTGTTTGTCAAGTACAAAGATTTGCTTTAAAACTGTTTCTAAATTCAATTCTAAATTCCAGCACACGAATAAATAAACAATAAAAAGCCCCCCACGAGGAGGTATGCGGGCAGTGGTTTTATATTCATGTAGAAACTAATAATTTCTATAACATTTTAACATTATTTCTTTAATTCTTTTTCATTTGTAAAGATATTTGTGTACTGCTGTACATCCTGTTTGTATTAAGAAATTTGTAAGTATTTTGGACCTGCATTGGTGAATCAAACGCATTCTGTGCTGGACTATAGACTGCTTTGATAACATATCACCATTGTCCAATGACTATGAAGTAATATGAAACAAGATCTTAAAATGATTTTATATTCTGGTTCCTAAAAGGCGATTCTTTTGGAAATGCCCCATATGGTTCAACCTCAGAAATAATGAGGTTCTTGATGGTTATAATCTTACATATTTGATCTCCTGATTGCTTCAGAAAATCCATTCCCATCCCTAAAAACTGATTCAGATACAGAGTATCTTACTGAGAGCAGGTTAATATGCCCTAACTCAACCATTTCAGTGAATTTTCACCATTCAGATGGATATATTCTCTGTGACTGATTTGATAGAGAGAAAGAAGCTACATTTAGTTTACTTTATAAATTCTTCGGACAATCCCCTTCAAATACAAAAAAATATTAGCTGTGCTGCTTTTCATAGCTAATTGTAAGAGCAAATTTATTTAGTTTTAGCCTTAGTCTTATGACTCAAATGCCATTTAGCTTTAGTGACACTTCTGAATTCACCATAGTTTCAGTCTAAAAATCCTAAATCATAATATATTAATTACTCATATCTCTAAAATGTCTAAGCGCATTATATTCTCCTGGAGAACACACTAATAATCATTCATTCATTCATTCATTTTCTTTTCAGATTAGTCCCTTTATTAATTCAGAGTCGCCACAGTGGAATGAACCACCAACTTATCCAGCACATTTGTACGCAGCGGATGCCCTTCCAGCTGCAACCTATCTCTGAGACACATCCACACACAATCATTCACACTCATACACTACGGACAATTTAGCCTACCCAATTCACCTGTCCAGCATGTCTTTAGACAGTGGGGGAAACCGGAGCACCCGGGGGAAACCCACAAGAACGCAGGGAGAACATGCAAACTTCACACAGAAATGCCAACTGACCCAGCCTTGGCTCGAACCAGTGACCTTCTTGCTGTGAGGGTACAGCACTACCTACTGCGCCACTGCGTCGCCCACACTGATAATCATTAAAGATATTAAAGTAAACAATATGTATAATTAACAGCTGTGGTGTAACATTAGACCTAATTAAAACACCTCCTAAAATGCATTCTTTATTATAAACTAGCTCAATATAGCATTCATCAATCTTTCAAGCAGATGTATTTATATACATTCATTTATTATAATTAATTTTACAGTACTGAAGACATTAGTGAAGTATATTATGAATGCACAGATAATAGGCTTTACTGATACTATTTGTACAACCAAATGTTGGAGTACTTTAAATGTGCTCTATGTATGTTTTTAGCTCTTCTTAAGCTTAAAGATACAACAGTATGTTTGCAGATATTTAAGAAACATGCTAAGTAACCATACTTGATTATTTAAAAAAAACAATGCTAAAGTCAGTTATACTAAGTTTAAAAGATATGGTCTGTACTGGAATGTTTGCCATTGTTTCAGTCTCTATTACCAGCCCACTGCCAGTTTATCCAATTATGTTTCAGCACTCTGGGTAGCCTTGGGGGGAAAAAAGTGTATGACATTTCAATCTTGAAATCTTCAGAGGAAGGGCCGGGCGAAAACGTGTTTAGAATTTGGACTGCAATACCTATTTCAACCACTGGGTGTCAATCTTACATACTGCACATTTGAGGGTTAAAAATAGTAGAGATGTAGGAAGTAGAAAGTAAGGAGATTGAAGGCTGCATCTGAAATCGCTTGCTCCTCAGTAGGTAAGGCATTTGAATTGAAATGTACTACTCGACCGTTAGAAAAGTACGTTCTATACAGTATGAATGTCAGCAGTATAAATAGAACTCAAACATACTACATCTGTCATTTTGTCATGATCTCTTGACCCACCAGAGTCAATTGCGCCAGATGCAAACTTCAGAATCTCGCAGGAAGTAGTAAGTCATCTAGGTACTTCTCGCATACTGTTTTTGAAAATTTGATGAATTCGGACATGCTACTCGGCTCGCATATTGTTTTTAGCATACTATATATTATGGATGTATGCCATTTCGGATGCTTCACGGATACACCAGTGAATGTGCACAAATTGAAAGTGAAAGTAGGAGCGTGTTGTGGCATATTTACTGTATAGGACAAATGCTTTTAGTTTGGTTTACATTGCATGCAGTCCAGTTGATCAGTAACATTGACATATAAAGCAAATAGCGAAGATCACTCTCAATGTGAAATGTAAACAATACTGATGTACATTAAAACAATAATATTAATAATACACAGCTAAAATACTTGGAATATCTGAAATAAAAGTTTTCCATGCTTAAATTGTTTTTTCACCACCATTATATGATTTTTTTTTAAACAATTAACTCATTCTGTGGTTAAACTAACAAAAACTGCATTCTAGTATTGTAACAACCACTGTGTGAGTAATGCATGATTGGAGTTCAATTCTTGGATGAGTATCATTTTAGCATACATCTCTGGCATCAGCATATGCAATATTGATGCACTTCCTTTGAATTGATTTTTCTCTGTGTATAAAAACCCCTTTTAGATTTTTTTTTACAAGTATCCTGCATAAATCAACAGGTTTAACAGCATTCAGAGTCCATAGGGCTTAACTCAGATTGATCCTACAACATTTTTTTAATGCTTAAATTAGTGCCATTAAAAAGTCATTCCCCCCTAATGGCTGCATTACATTGCAGTACATGTCTAAGAATATTAGTCACCAAAGTGCCATTAATTTTAACTTCCCTAAAGTAATAAAGTACGTGATAAAAATGACTGCGGTCATCAAAGCTTACCGGAAAGTACAGGAGAAGAGCTCCAAACAAGATGGCCTCCAGCAGAATGAGTCCTGATGCTCTGATACTCTGAAACACATGGGGGGGGAAAAACAACAGCACATTGGAAAACTTCTCTCTTTAAAAGTATTCTCCTGCTGCAAAATGGGTCAGTGGAAATCATCCATTTGTGACTACTGCATAACTTATCCCTCTGCGCACAAATGCATTCTCCTTGGACTATTCTAATGTGTTCACAGGGGTGGATTCATCTCTTTTCTCTTCAGACGGATGCTTTGCCCTGGAATAAACTTTTTAAAATTTAGCTTTCTGTAAAAACAAGGTGAAATGGAGGGGTTGCATCAGGCAAATGGGTCAAAGACTCAGATTTCTATATTACTATGAAATCAATTCACTTTGCAACTGTCTTTTTAAGTTGCAGAACGGGAAATCTCCTCTTGGCAGCATTAAAACACTATTTTTAATTAGATGTTAATTCAAAAACAGTAATAAAAAGAAAATGAGCATGATAGGAAATACCGTAATTTACCATTTTGACCCAGTAAATTGATGAACAAACAATTGCAAGTTAATTTTATGGTATGTATAAATTTTAAATTGAGAAGACTAAAATATGGTATACATTCATTCATTCATTTTCTTGTCGGCTTAGTCCTTTTATTAATCCGGGATCGCCACAGTGGAATGAACCGCCAACTTATCCAGCAAGTTTTTACGCAGTGGATGCCCTTTCAGCTGCAACCCATCTCTGGGAAACATCCACACACACACATTTACATACACACTCATACACTACGGACAATTTAGCCTACCCAATTCACCTGTACTGCATGTCTTTGGACTGTGGGGGAAACCGCAGCACCCGGAGGAAATCCACGTGAAGGCAGGGAGAACATGCAAACTCCACACAGAAACGCCAACTGAGCCGAGGTTCGAACCAGCGACCCAGCGACCCAGCAACCTTCTTGCTGTGAGGCGACAGCACTACCTGCGCCACTGCCTCGCCCAATATGGTACATTTTACAGTAAAACTATACAATACTGTAAATACAGGTACATCAAGGCAAATGATTCTGTAAATATTAATATTTATACAGCCATATTAATATAAAACAGCTATATCACCCTGCAGCCCAAGACCGGTTACTCACTGAAGCTAAGCAGGGCTGAGCCTGGTCAGTACCTGGATGGGAGACCACTAGGGAACACTAGGTTGCTGTTGGAAGTGGTGTTAGTGAGGCCAGCAGGGGGCGCTCAAAGTGTGGTCTGCGTGAGTCCTAATGCCCCATAAAAGTGAAGGGGACACTATACTGTCAGTGGACGCCGTCTTTCGGATGAGACGTTAAACCGAGGTCCTGACTATCTGTGGTCATTAAAAATCCCATGGCACTTCTCGTGAAAGAGCAGGGGTGTAACCCCGGTATCCTGGCCAATGTCCCCCTATCAGCCCTTACGATCATAGTCTCCCAATCATCCCTTTCAACCGAATAGGCTCTATCACTGTCTCTCCACTCCTCCAACAGATGGTGTGTGGTGAGCGCACTGGCACCGTTGTCCTGTGGCAGCCTTTGCATCATCCAAGTGGATGCTGCACACTGGTGGTGGTGTGGAGAGACCCCCCCTCATGATTGTGAAGCACTTTGGGTGTATGGCCATACACAATAAATGCGCTATATAAATACACATTACATTACATTACATTACATAATATTTCAGCTGCAAATCTGATTGACGGTAAATTACTGCCAAACTGTTGCCAGTAGGTTACTGTAAACTCTACAGGAAATTGTTAGTGTAGGTAACAAGATGTAATGTAAGTGTATCTTAATTCAAGTTTTTAGGGCATGTGCTATTCTATTTTCAATTATTATCAATGATTAAAATGAACAGAACACATGAATCAACAATAAAATTTGCCATGATCAGGCTGATTTGTTGCATGCTGATTAATAAAATGGAAATTAATGTTAAACATGCTATGTTATATTGAATGTAATATTATTCATACTAAAACAAATGTTGCCTCCAACATCTCTTTTCCATGGCTTGTTTCTGGGTGGTTGCTAAAGAGCCTCGCTGACGTTTCATTGATATTCTAGTCCCTAGATAGACAGACTGTGATGTATATGGAATTTTCCTCACAGAATAAAAAATCACAAGTTATAAATTATGAATCAAAAGACATGTAGCACATCTCTTCTCAACAAGCTGGATGATTTGAGGAACAGTATCTACAGTATGTAAAGGGTCTCCAACCATGCTACTGAAGGGTCACTATCCTATCCCAGATAATAAAGTTCCATACAAGTGTGTTGAGGATGAATGGAGCTCAGTCTGTACAGGAATGAGAAGAACTGATGAAAAGAGGTGCTAACGTACAACTTATGTACAACTAAAATACAATTCCCGAATGTTACTTTTATATAATGTACACTGTAAAAGAATTCTTGCTGCCTTCATTTTTTTTTTGAATGAAGTTAACTTTTCTAATCATCTCAACTTCGATCAATCAAACTGACCAAAATATTAAGTTCAACTCTGTATTTAGTTTAAACCTGATTAACTTATTAAAATAAGTTAAAGCAACAGAACTAGTGTGTTGTGTTATTCATAATTACTGTAGGTAACATCATATTTCAATCATACATTCATTTATTTTCCTTTGACTTAAAGTAGTCCCTTTATTCACAAGGGGTCGCCACAGCGGAATGAACTAACAACTTATCCAGCATATGTTTTACACACCAGACGCCCTTCCAGCTGCAACCCAGTACTGGGAAACACCCATACACTCTCACATGCACGCACAGACACACACACTAGTTTATTCCGTTTACCTATTGCGCTTGTCTTTGGACTGTGGAGGAAACCCACGGTGACATGGGGAGAACATGCAAACTCCACATAGAAATGCCAACTGGTCCAGCCAGCACTTCTTGCTGTGAGGCGACCGTGCTAACCGCTGAGCCACTGTGTCGCCCCGTCACATTTCAATTTAACATATTTTTACCGTTAGTTACATGAAAATAGACACACTGCTCCACATATTTGAATGTCATTTAGGCCTAACATCTCGCATAACAATTGGCAGGTATAACTGCTTAATCTGATCCATAAAGCCAACGACATGTGGTACTAAAATTCACTCATGGTAATACCAAAAATCCCTGGCACTTACTGGCCACTTGATTAGGTACACCTTACTAGTACTGGGTTGGACCCTCTTTTGCCTTAAGGACTGCCTTAAACCTTTGTGTGCAAAGATTTAACAAGGTACAGGAGGTGTTCCTCAGAGATTTCGGTCCATATCGACATGATGGCATCACCTAGTTGCTCCATTAGTTGGCTGCACATCCATAATGACAGGATAGGCACCCGGTGTAGTCTTCTGCTGCTGTAGCCCATATGCCTTAAGGTTCGACGTGTTGTGCATTCAGAGATGCCTTTCTGCATACGTCGGTAGTAACAAGTGGTTACTTGAGTCACTACGTATTACCTTTGATAATAGTACCAGATCGATGCCACATTCAAAGTAACTTAAATCACCTTTCTTGCTTATTCTGATACTGCAGCAGATCGTCTTGAACATGTCTACATGCCTAAATGCAGTGAGTTGCTGCCATCTGACTGGCTGACTAGAAATTTGTGTTAATGAGCAGCTGGATGAGTGTACCTAATAAAGTGGCCGGTGAGTGCACAGACACATAAAGGGTGCTGTAAATGTGAATATGGTATTTTTGTTTACTAATTTACAGTAAGTGACTGGCAAACTGCTGCCAGTAAGTTACAGTAGGTTCTTCAGAAATTTGTTAACAGTGAAGCTTACTTTTGTGTAGGCTTGTGCAATTGTATAATCAATCAAAACTAAAATTATGTTTTTTTTTCCTCTCTGGCTCTCTCTCTTTTCTTCTCTCTCAATATTGCAGCATATACTGTAGCTATAAGTTGAGCTGCTACTGTAGTTCAAGTGAGTCTCCTTTAAAGCAGAGAAAATGAGAATTCCATTACGAGGCAACAGGTGAGCTGTCAACTGCTTTCTAAAATCAAACGACCTATAGAGAGCACTTGACAGCACATGCTGAAACAGAGCAAAATTTCTAATCCTAACTCTGTCGCTTTCATTTAGACTTCTCCTGCATTTATGGATCGCTTTCAGGCAGCGCCCAGACGAAGCATGCTTCCAGAGTAAATTAAAATGCTGGCACTATCAAAACTGAGTGCCCTACATATCGACAGCCTAAACGGCGCCTCACTGCAGGGATTAATGAACCTTCCTCGCAGTCAGTGCGAATCCAGTCTACTATTACTCAGAACGCAGACTGCATGTCTGTTTAAGCTAAGACAGTAGCATGTGCTTCTAAAACATGCTCTACAGTGCGCTAAGTGTGATTAAGTAGCTGTCACTTTCTTAATCTATGCACTAATCCACTCCTCTTGAGGTGGGGAAAATCTTAATAACTTAATGAATCTAATTAGCAGAGACAATCCAGAGTTTGGGTGTGCAATTAATTGACAGCATCAAAGAGAAGGTTGAAGTTTGAACTGAGGATCATCAAGATATTTTCGGTCAAAACTGAGACAAGTCTTTGTTATTTTTGCTCAGCTGTGGTTTTCCTCTTGAAATCTGCCATGCAAACCATTTTGCCCCGACTCTTTCTTATGGGGGAGTCATGAACACTCACCCAAACTAAGGCAAGTGAGGCCTCCAGTTCTTTGGATGCTGGTGTGGGGTCGTTTGTGACCTCTTATATAAGTTGTCTCTGTGCTCTTGGGGTAATTTTGGTTAGCTGGCCACTTCCGGGTAGGTTCTCCAATGTTCTGTGTTTTTCCCATTTGTAGATAATGGCTCTCACTGTGGTTCGCTGCAGTCACAAAGTTTTGGAAATGGCTTTATAACCACACTAGTAGATCTCAATTACATTCTTTCTCACTTGTTTTTAAATTTCATTGAAGGCGACCCGGTGGCGCAGTAGGTAGCGCTGTCACCTCACAGCAAGAAGGTCGCTAGTTCGAGCCTCGCCTAGGTCAGTTGGCATTTCTGTGTGAAGTTTGCATGTTCTCCCCATGTTCGCGTGGGTTTCCTCTGGGTGGTCCAAAGTCCAAAGTTTAAAGACATGCGGTACAGGTGAATTGGGTAAGCTAAATTATCCGTAGCGTATGTGTGTGAATGAGAGTTTTCCAGTGATGGGTTGTGGCTGGAAGGGCATCCGCTGCCTAAAACATATGCTGGATAAGTTGGCGGTTCATTCCAATGTGGCAACCCCAGATTAATAAAGGGATTAAGCCAAAAAGAGAATTAAATAAAGAAACTTCATTGAATCTCGGCATGATATCCAGACTTGAGGATCTTTTGGTCTACTTCACTTTTAATAGTCAACAATTTCTTGATTGCAAACAGGTGTGGCAATAATTAGGCTTGGGAGTGGCTAGAGAAATTAAACTCTGTATGATAAACCAGAGTTAAGTTTTAACATAGCAGCATAAATAAGTACACCGCTGCTTAATCTGGGGTCGCCACAGCAGAATGAACCACCAGTAGGCTGACTTCGACAGTAGGGAAATATAAACTATGGAGGTCAGCTGCAACCATCCAGTCTTTCATGAAAGCCAACTTCCCATTCAGTGTGAATAAAATATCACATAGCAGTTAAAGATACTGGACAATCCGAGATAATACGCAAACGACTAACTGTAATGTAACTCAGCATGGAAATACCCCAGTGTCAGTAAGAACAGGATGTGCTTTATGGAAACAGTTGCCATCTTAATTAGCTCCCTCCGGCAGCACACGCTCACCTTGTTCCTGCGGAAATGGTAAAGCAGCACCATACTGATGAAATCCACCAGCATGCACAGGCCCTGGAAGGAGAGCACCGCCATACGCAGGGCTCCATCACCCCGGGCCACGCAGGGCGTATCGTCCTTGCAGAAAGAACAGCCTTCCTGGCAGGGCAGACAGTGGCTGGAAGTTTCTGGAACATCCCTGTTATGGGACAAACCCTCGGTCCCCTTCCCTCCTGCTTTCCCTGGAAAAAGACCAAATATTCAATAACGCCACATGTTGTTCCCTCAAACAACTCTGCATTTATTTGCAATTGATGTGTCTAACTAGCATACATTTGCATATATTATGATCACACCAAGAAGGAAAAAAAACAATTGTGAAAAGTAGCAGCACAGATGTGACATTTAAAGCGGTCCAGCCCACCCTCCCCTTTCAGTCATCAGTGGTCTCATCAGCAGGCATCTCACAGCGTTTCATGTGCTAGCCAGGGTGGATGGGTGTGTACACACCATCTGGGCTGCCACTTTGATGCACCAGTTGTTTCCGCCTTCAGTTACATATCGCGTATGATTTAAAAATGACATTTTTATGCTAGGCAATAGTTTGACTTTCTAGTTCCTGGTCAAAATGTTTCACTATTTTGCATACACACTCCCTTGAAATCATAAGCCACAACCATTCTCATGTAATTTAAGTGTTTTTTTTTTCAAGGATTTAAGGAAATACTGGAGGAATGAACAAACAAACGAATGAATGAAGGACGGAACAAACAAAAAACAATGGAAGGAAAATTGGAAGAAATGAACGAATACAGAAAGATCACTAAATGCTCTACGGAATGTTACGTTTACACATCCCTGCACAAACTGCATGTAAACGCATCAACTTTTCAGAGAGTAATACTCACTACTCTTGAGTACTTACTAATGAAGGAAGGACCAAATAAATAAAGGAAGGATACAAGGAAGGACTGAACAAACTAAGAAAGGAAGAAAGGAAGAAAGGAATGAACAAACAAATGAATGAATCAGCAAACGAATGAAGGAAGGACCAAATAAATGAAGGAAGAATTCAAGGAAGGACCAGAGGAATGAACAAACGAATGAATGAAGGAAGGAACGAACAAACAAACAATGGAAGAAAAATTGGAAGAAACGAACAAATATAGAAAGATCACTCAATGCACTGCAAAATGTTACGTTGACACATGCCGGCACAAGCTATACTCACTACTCACTACTCTCGAGTACTTTTAAAAGAGCTACTTTTTACTCATATTTTGAGTAGTATTTACACTTTTACTCTACCAGCCCTACATTTTTGGGCAATTAATGTTACTTTTACTTGAGCGTGAGTTTTCAGTACTCTTTCCTTCACTGATGACCAGACAGGAAACACCAGCATTACATAATCAAAAATCTAAAGGGATGGTGGCTCAGTGAAGCAGATAACAGAGAAATGCACAGAACACAGCCAACTTCTCCCAGAAACACACTTATCGGAGATCACTGGAGGACAGCCAGAGAGCAGATATCACAGATGGAGGACCTGTGGTGATGTCCACATGTCTGTCTGCATCTCCACTTCTCTCTGCACAGTATGGTTTGAATATACAGCTTCACAGCCTGTTTTTAAATCTAATGAAGCTTTCTGTCTTTCACCACAACCACAAATGGCACAACAATTGAGTGGTTTGGGTCATTTTAAGTTGCCTTACATAGCAACAGTTAAATCTTGGTGAATTTCTAAATAGTTTCAGTATGAATATTTTAATAGTAATGTGGGTCACACTTGTTGTTGATATTTGTTGAATTTAAGTTACATTGCATCTACATAACCAATTCTCATTAGATTATAAGTAGACTGTTAGGTTGGGGTTGGGGTTAGTGTAAGTTGACATGCACTTGCAAAGTCTCTTATTGTCAGTTAAACGTCTGTTGAAGAAGCAGTATCAGCAAATATTAAGCAGACAGTCTACTAATACTCTAATGGACCATCAAAAATAAACTGTTACCGTAATGTGTTTGGGGGTGGGACGGTGGCTCAGTGGTAAGCACTGTCGCCTCACAGCAAGAAGGTCACTGGTTTGAGTCATGCACTATAACTGAATTGGGTGGACAAAATTGGCCATAGTGTATATGTGTGTGTGCAAATGCGAGAGTGTGTGGATGTTTCCCAGTACTGGTTATTTTTTTCTCTCCATCCAACAGCTGGATTGAGCCTTTAGGGTCATTCAATTGGGTTATTTTTGCATTACTGAATCGTTTTCAGGAGATAGTGGTCCTTGGTGCTTCATTTCTTCAGTGAAATGAAGATTGTACTCTGCCAAGAGCAATTAGTTGACTTTACTTAAAAATGTGAGTAAATATATTGCCTTTAAATTAGTAAGCAAGTAAAGTATGTGCATATTTACAAAGTTAAGTGAACTAAACAACTCCAAACTGGGTTTACTCATTTTTAAGATAACAAATTGCTTTTACAGAGTATTTTATTTTATGTGTAAAGTCTTTACTGTGCTGTAACTTATTTTTTTAACGGAATGGATTGGGCTATGTTAGTCAGCTAAATAAGTCAGTAATATCCCTTTTGCATCTATTAACATTAACTAAATTGATTATCATAAAACACAATTCAATAAATCTTGCTGTAGAAATATGTAATCAAAAGACATAATACATTTCCCAGTGTTGGGATGCCGCTGGAAGGGCATCCGCTGCGCAAAACATGTGCTGTATAAGTTGGCGGTTCATTCCGCTGTTGCGACCCCTGATTAATAAAGGGACTAAGCCAAAAAGAAAATGAATTAATGAATGAATGAATGAAGACATAATACACAATTATTGAATACATTTAAAAATGTCCTTTTTTTTTACATTTTTACAATAATGTTTTTTAAATGACTGTTAAGTGAGTTTAAATGCACATAATATTGTATGGTTATAAATGATGCTGTCTGTATTCACCCCCCCCCCCCATCAATCACAAAAAACCTAAAAAACATTTTATTTATTTGAATGCTTACTATTTGCTCTAGCTTAAATGCCAGATCTAGACAGGTGGAACTGGGATGGAGGGTTTTCGAGAAACTCTTATAGCAAATAAGACTATAATCTTCCATATTTTTCAAAGGAGATTATCGAATAGGAAAATTATCTAAGCTCTTTAGTCATTTTTGAGTCAGATGCTAATGGTCTAATCTGATTCAATTAGCTATGCTAAGCTATGCTTATAGTGCTAAAAAAGAGCCAGACATGGAGATTGGCTGAATGGATTCAAAAATGCTAAAACTCAACTGTTTGAAGGGGACCTACAATGCATAAATTACTTTTATAATGATGTTTTTGTGGCAACAGTGTGGGAATATAGCCAGTATCTGATGATAGAAGTTCATTAATTCAATTTCTTATAATCACATTTCATAAAAACGTTTAAAAAATAAAAAATAAATAAAAAAGTTTGCTGAAACACTTTGATTGACATTCTCCCTTTGTAGGTGTCTTTGGAGGGGGAAAGCCCTGCCTATTAATGACAATCTCTCCCTCATTAGTATAGACAGCCCTGAGTAAGAAGCAGCCATCCACCATTACAGTTTTCACACCGTACCTGCCAAGGATAATTTTAAAAAGATGGCTGGGAATGCAACCTTGTTTGATTTTAAAGAGACCAAAACGGCACATTAAGAATTAAAGCCTAAAAGAGCCAGTTTCAAATAGTAATACAAAATTATATGTGTGGTATTTTTTGCTGAAACATATACACCCTTGACACAGACACTTATTTTACATATTGTATAATGGGGCATAATAGATCCCCTTTAGCTCTATGGGAATTGTAAAATAAGCCTAGTGTATTTTCAAACGAAGTGGAAAGTTCAAGTACAATTAATTTTTATATAGCTACTTTAGCTGGATGATGGCAGTATGAACTGTTTTGTTCAGAGAGCTGAGGGCCAGACTCAACCAGCATAGTGTTGATCATGCGTCGCTCTTCTCTCTTTTACACTTGGGTGTGTTTGTGAGTTGGTGCATGCCATATTTTGGAGTTCTCACTGGGGTACAACGCGATCTTGAAGCACTCCAATGAGTGGAGTGGAAAATGACATCATGCTTAGTACTCAAAAAGTTTTTTGTGCATGTCTGAGAGGATGAATAAAATATTAACGAAAGATATTGCATCTAAGGCACAGTGGGTCCACACTGAAAATTTGGGATTTCAAATAAATTTTTAACCTGAAGACAAGCAAAAAGTACTTAAAGTATTTAAAACAACACACAGTTATGACAAAGAACAAAGTAATTATTGCTATTAACAGATTAAATTACAAACATTAATAAAAATAGAAGGATTTTATAAGCAGACTGTTGGACCCTATCATATATTTGACAAATAATTGAAGACCAAGAACAGCTACAGTAATACAAACTTTATACTACCTGATAAAGTCTTGTCGTCGATCCCAGTTGTATAAGCAACAAATAATAACTTGGCTTCTAGTTGATCATTTGGAAAATTGTCAGACGCTAGAACTGTTGAACTGCATCCCAGTCATCATAAATACTGCAAAAGACCTATTGGAACCCGCAAAGACACCAAGATTCTCAAAGAAATCAGTCAAATTTGGTGAAGGAAAAATCATGGTTTGGGGTTACATCCTGTATGGGGGTGTGCAAGAGATTTGCAGAGTGGATGGTAACATCAACAGTCGGAGGTATCAAGACATTTGTGCTGCCCGTTACATTACAAACCACAGGAGAGGGCAAATTCTTCAGCAGGATAGCGCTCCTTCTCATACTTCAGCCTCCATATGAAAGTTCCTGAAAGCGAAGAAGGTCAAGGTGCTCCAGGATTGGCCAGCCCAATCACCAGACATGAACATTATTGAGCATGTCTAGGGTAAGGTAGAGGAGAAGGCACTGAAGATGAATCCAAAGTATCTTGATGAACTCTGGGAGTCCTGCAGTAACGCTTTCTTGTCATTCCAGATGACTTTATTAATAAGTTATTAAATCATTGCAGAGATGCATGAATGCAGTCATCCAAGCTCATGGGAGTCATACTCAATATCACTTTATATTCTATACTGCACATAATTTCTGTTAAGTGACCAGACTTTGTCGAAGCAAAGTCAGACCTTACTGTCCAATTTAAAGAATTAAAAATCAAGTCATGATCATATTTAATTTTGGTAAAATAACCATAATCTAGAGGCCTTTGCCGTTTATATGAACAACTTCTAATGCCAAATGATCAACTAGAAGTTATTATTTGTTGTTCCTAAAACTTGGAAAGGCAACAAGACTGTCAGGTTGTGTATACATTCAGATTGGGCTCTGTTCTATCTTAAAAGCATAACCAAGTGCCTTTGTTCACTTATAAAACACCTGCTATACGATATTTAATTTGTTTATTTTTCTCTTTAAAAATAACATGCAAACATTGATCCATAACATTTCAACATTGTACTTACTTTTAAAGCCATTCACTGCAACTCTGCTTGGATGATAATAGCCACTTTTGCAGTGACATTTATACTTGTCCAGCACAAATCCATGCCCAGGAACCGGCAAACACTGTGGAGAACAGAGAGAAGATAGGAATAATAAAACTGTACCTTTACAATTAAATATAATGGTTAAATGTTTATACAGTAAAAGTCTTTTCCTATTAGGTGTTCCTAGGCCATCTACTGTATATGGCTACAACAACAACAAAAAAAGGTCAAGAATCTTGATGTGATTCTGGAGTCAGATCTGAGTTTCAGCAGTCATGTCAAAGCAGTAAGTAAATCAGCATACTATCATCTCAAAAACAGTGCAAGAATTAGTTGCTTTGTTTCCAGTGAGGACTTAGAGAAACTTGTTCATGCTTTTATCAGCAGCAGGGTGGATTACTGTACTGGACTCCTCACTGGCCTTCCCAAAAAGACAGTCAGATAGTTGCAGCTCATCCAGAACACTGCGGCCAGAATTCTGACCAGAACCAGAAAATCAGATCACATCACACCTGTCCTCAGGTCTTTACACTTGCTCCTAGTTACATTCAGAATACATTTTAAAGCATTATTACTTGTCTACGAATCACTAAATGGCCTAGGACCTCAATACATATCAGTATGCTCACTGAATACAAACCTAACTGATCACTCAGAACTTTAGGATAAAATAATTTAGAAATTTCAAGAGTTCATTTAAAGCAGGATGAATCCGCCTTCAGCTACTTTAAATCTTTTAATCTGTAGTTAAATCATGGACTAAGACCAATGGAAAATGAAAAGTTGACATTTTCTATGCCAGTATGACTATAGTCTCATTTTATCCAGCATAAGTACACATAATTGCAGATTGAGAAGTGAAAGCAATCCATTCAATAATGTCTCTGAAGCACACAGCAAGCCAGCCCTAATAGGTTTTGCAACAGAGTCATAGAATGAAGACTCTTTTGGAAGAGTGAAAATTCAGATCCTATATTGTGCATACATCATTGCATAATTACAGGATGTACACAGCCTCTTCTGTGTCAATAAAGACAAAGAACTAACTTTCTACAAATAGCAAAGAGCCACTGAGAGGCAAGGCTGCAATCTTCAATCGCTGTGTTCAGCAGATTCAGCATATGAGCTGAATTGATTTAAACGGTCCTCTGTTGTATAATATTCAAACAGGGACAGTTTTGGCACAGATCTCCTTGCATGTGCCAAGATGTACTGTCATTAATATCTGGATTACAGACAGACACACCAAGAATTAAAATGAAATTTAATTCAGTATCTAGAGGTTATTCTCCACAAAACAATAGGTCATGAGTGGGTAATCGTAATCCTTGATATCTGAACCCTGAGCGTTTCATGACTGCAGTCCAGGACCTAAAGCAGACATGTTGACCTCAGCTCAATACTGATCCACTCCAACACACACTTAACAAGCTATGAAGAGCCAAAGCCTCCATATTTGAGCTGCTTTAATATCAGCTCTAATGAAGCATGGAACAGTAGAACACTCACACAAATCCATCTTTAGAGAGAAGAGGGCTGTATATCAGTTTTTATATGCTTCCAGTTTATCTTTATTAAGCCTTACATATGATGATTTCAAAACTAGAATGTGAGGGATAAGTAGGGTCCTGTGATTCTGGATTACCATCTATGTTGATCCTGCAACATCATTCCTGTTCAAAAATGTTATTAATGCCTAATTCATAAGCTTAAATTTAACCCTATCTGAAAATGATTTACAAAATCAGGGGGGATTAATAGTTGGATAACAATAGACGCACGTAACTCTAACTATAAGCCTAAACCTAACAAAGTTTAAACATATTCCTTAAATCTGATTTGCTGATTGGAATGCTGTTAAAGGATCAACATAGATGTTAAAGCTGCGGTCACATTGGACTTTTCTCCCCATAGACTTGCATTCATACGCACGCGAATGCGTCAGACCTGAAACGCAGGGTCATGGGTCAAGTTTTGCAGCTAGCTGCGTTGCAAAGTTCAAGCTTGGTGAACTCTGACCTGCAAAATCGCATCACTTGACTGCGTGAGACCAATCGAGGATCAAAACATGACCTCGCTGGACAAAAATTTTAAATATGGACCAATCACTTGCTTTTTTAATGTCTAATCATCTTGTTTAATCCCGCCCATTTTCGCAGCGCCGTACTAAAGAATTTCGCAAGGTCAAACTCTAGTGTGACCGCAGCTTAATTCAGCAACATGTACTACTTGGTCAACTCACATTAACCTCACAGGCCACTTTATTAGGTCCACCTGCTCGTTAATGCAAATTTCTAATCAGCCAATCACATGGCAGCAACTCAATGCATTTATGCATGTAGACATGGTCAAGACGATCTGCTGCAGTTCAAACCGAGCATCAGAACGGGGAAGAAAGGTGATTTAAGTGACTTTGAACATGGCATGGTTGTTGGTGCTAGGCGGGCTGGTCTGAGTATTTCAGAAACTGCTGATCTACAGGGATTTTCATGCATTTTTATGACCTCAGTGACCACAGCCATCTTTTGATGGCTAATTCCAGCAAGATACCGCACCATGTCATAAAGCGTGAATCATCTCAGACTGGTTTCTTAAACATGACAATGAGTACACTATACTCAAATGGCCTCCACAGTCACCAGATATCAATTTAATAGAGCACATTTGAGATGTGGTGGAACGGGAGATTCGCATCATGGATGTGCAGCAAAAGAACTAATGCATTAGAAAATTATAAACTGAATATAGTAGATTTACATCATTTATTGAATGAATGCTTTCAAAATGCATCATATATTCAGTCTAGTCACTGTAACCGAAAAGAAGTTGAATACTCAGTCATTGCTTAACACCATTACATAGTAGATATAACTGTCTTAAATATTTATAAATCACATATATTTTCTATGTATTCATCTGTAGCCTTGCCAAAATCAAGCATATCTCTCAGTAAAGAAATGCTCCCGGTATTATTCACGATGCACTGCGGGTACTGACCCCTTGAGCTTCAGTCAATTCCTCCAATAAAAAGCTTCAGGAAGCCCACAACTGATAACAGCTTCTGCCTAAAATGAGAGAAACAGACTGTGGCCCATGCTGAGAGGAAGAGACAGGGTCTTCTGATAGAGCGGGTATTGAGCAGGTGAGAGCTTCAGCTGGGAACACTCTATCCTAATTAAAGCCAGACAGACACATCGCCGCACAGACACCGGTAGATCTGAGCCGCTGGGAGGACACTGGATGATTTCAGTGGCTCTACAACACCTTCACGCTCTTCACTTTTAATCAGACAGAGAAAGTTCCAAAGGCTGTTTGATTGACTAAGACATGGAGTGGAGGAACTCGTTTAGATAAAGGAGGTCTGTCTTCACTGATAGAAAGTAACACAGGTTTCTAAAAAAATATGTGGTGTACTAGTGTGCCTCAATGATTCTGCCAATGGGCGGCGAGATTAAAATTAACTCTCAATATTATTCTATAATTTTTGGATTGCATTATAAAATGCTACATTAAAATGATCAAAGTTTCTCCTGTTCTCTGGTTGACAGCATCAAGCTCAACGCAAAAACAGCCTCATGAGCGCATCTGCAACTAGTACACACAAGTCTGTTCATTCACAAACTATGTGTGAAGTGAAAGTGAAAGTATCTCGTGTATTTTTGTGTAAACTATTTAATATATCCACATAGTTGTCCAAATTAATGTCCTGTGAGTGTTTTATAATCGTAGCACATCAATACAGGAAGACCTAGCAAGGCTCAATGGTGTTTCTACCATGAATGGAAAATAAACTTGCATATGAGCTTCATACACGTGCTCTGGCAGAAATGTTCACTGTTCACCTGTCAGCTGCAAACTCAACCGCCATCAGATTGACGCGTTTCAACAAATTTAGGTTGTTTTACTGTATTTTACATTTGTCTTTATATTTTTTAAATAGTAAATATTCAGTCAGTCCAGTTTAAAAAATAATCTGAGAAAGAAGTAGGCCTCGCATTGAAAAAGGTTGAGAACCCCTGATTTAAGTGACATTGAATGTGGCATAGTTGTTGGTGCCAGACAAGCTGAGTATTTCAGAAACTGCTGATCTACTGGGTTTTTCATGCACAACCATTATTAGGGTTTACAGAGAATGATCTGAAAAAGAGAAAATATCTAGTGAGTGGCAATGTTTCCCTATATGCACAAAAGTAAAGGAGAAAAGAGCAAAGGAAAGAGAAAGTAAAGAGGCCAATTGGAGAAGGCTCATTCTTTATCCTGGCGCTGCAGATGGTCTGTTTAACTGTTTTCTTGCTAGTAAAGCTTTCAGTTTTTCCACTTTCAAAGTCTGCTATGTAAATAGCAAATGCACCATGGCACGACGCAACTGAAGGTGAGTTAGAGATGAGACTCTGATTGGTTTAATGCATGTAATACAATGTACAAACACACTCAAAACTCATTAAAGATCCCCTATTATGGCTTTTTGATAATGCAGTATGTAACACAGCACTAAGTGAATGAAGCTGAGGTTTAAATCTGAAAGTGCACCGTGTTTAAAACTATTGATTCTTTAACGAAACATTCGACTCAGAGTCGAATGAATGAATCAAGTTGGGTCGGATTTTTTTTCTTGAACGCAACGATTTTTATATGGTACATCACCAAATATGTAGTGCCAGATCTAGTAAAACGTGAACGCCCCTTTCCCCTTCAGACACAAGCAGAGCATAGGGGATCACGAGACGAAGATGACGGTCACTGATAGAAGGAGGTTCAGCTGTGGGAAATAAAGGGTTAAAGTTAATTTTTACAACAATACCACATTATAGCCAACCTAGTGCTTTGTTTGTTCCTGTCACTTTTCTGATTTTTGATACAATAACCTAAGTTGCAATGCGGCATTCATCTGCCGTTTGCTATTAAAGGAAGGAGCAGCAGAGATTATTATGTAAGGGACTTTGACAGGGACTTTGTCAGTAACTGTTGCAGTTCACATGGACCAGTTTCTTCTTCCTCCGCATCATATGTAGGTGTAATTCAAACTGTTGTCTCATTTTCTGTCGTTTGCTAAATGTGTGCTTAATTCTGTGTTATAAG